CCGGGCTGGAGAAGGGAAACGGCTAGGAAGCGGAGGCAGCGCGCACTCTGCTGCTCAGGCGGGAAGGAGGCCCGTGCAGAGTCGCAGGAGAGGCCCGGCTCGTTTCAAGCTGCAGGCCGGATAGTGCCACCGCCTCGCACACCATTCCCACGCCGCAGCAGTAGCAGCAGTCCCGTCTTCGGGGGCTCAAATGTCCTGGGTCAGAGGTTCCGGGTTTGGACCTTTAGCTCGTGGGCTGAACAGAAACGCAGCCGACCCTCCGCGCTGGCTGCTTTCCGGTTTCTCAGCGGTCGTGCACCTCAACCCCTCTGCCTGGTCTCTACCGCAGATCTACCGGGTCGTGTCCCCAAGGCCCGACTGCCTCCAGAACCGACCATCCTCCGGCTAGGGCACCTTGCTCTCAACACCCTGCACACAAACACCGGGCGAGCCCAGGAGCACTTTCACATTCACACGCCAGCACACCAGGTGCAGATTCCTTTTCCAAAATCAATTACCCCCTCTCTTACCAAGTTGGACAGAATCCTATTTTTTTTTATATTACTGACGACTTTATGTGTTTTTTTTTTTATCTTTTGAAAAAATTGACAAGTCAGCAATACAAAGAAAAGAAGGACAGAGAGGAAGATCTTCCCACTGATGATTCACTCTCCAAGCAGCCACAACTGCCAGAGCTGCGCCAATCCGAAGCCAAAAGCCCAGAGCCGCCTCCGGGTCTCCCAGGCGGATGGATGCAGGGTCCCAAGGCTTTGGGCCGTCCTGGACTGCTTTCCCAGGCCACAAGCAGGGAGCTGGATGGGATGTGAAGAGGATTAGAACCAGCGCCCTTATAAGATGCCGGTGCGTGCACGGAAAGGACTTTAGCCACTAGGCTACTGAGCCGTGGCCGACTTTATGTTTTTGAAGACTCTTCCTCTACCACTGCCACCCCCACCGCTTCATAGCCAGGAGCTGGCATCTTACCTTCTTTGTTTGCATTCAAACAATTTTCTCGGTCCCCAAGGCTCCTCCACAGGGGGCAAGTTTCTATGTTTGTTCTCTCCTTCCATCACTTTCTTTTTTATTTTTCACTTCTCTTTTTCCTCTCCCTTCTTCCCTCCTGCTTTCCTTTTTCTTCCTCCTTCCTTTCTTCCCACAAACCATATGTTTTTTATTGGGAATTGGCTCTCACGTTCCCCCGGCGGCTGCCTCCGTCACAGGGGCATGGCAGGGGCAAATCCATTGAGACTGACCCGCACCACATTTCAATGCGGCTTCCAGATCCTCATCCAGTCCCAAATCTGAGCTCATCCCAACTGACTTTCTGTTGGGAAGAATAGCGACACCGATGCTTTTGACACATAACCCCTGGCGGGAGGTGTTGGGGGCTGGGTCCTGATGAGGGTCGTTGCCGTAGTGACTGGACTTGGTCAGGGGGTTTAACCCCCACATTCACCAACTGATCACTTGCCTTCCGGTCAAGGAGCTTGGGATCAGGAAGCTGGAATTCTCGTTTTCCTCCCCTACCCCCTTGTGGGAGGACAGAGGGGCTCCCAGCATTGTCCAACCCAGAAAGTTACACCTGGGGAGGAGCAGAACAGCCAGGATCTCCCCCCCACCCCCCATCGTGCCCATCCTTCCTGAGGATTCAAACGAAAGCCTGGGTGGAAGAGCCACCACCTCTCCACACCACCAGAACACACACACAAGATCACAGACATTATTTCCCACAGACATGGTTTCCTTTTAATGTGTTCAGCTGGAAGTGACATCATCAGCTCCTGGAGCATAAAAAGCACCAGCAGGGAACTGTCCCCTAGGGCAAAGGAGCTCAGGAACACTGGTAGAAGTCACCTAACCATCTTTGCAGTGTAGATGCATGCTGGGAGGACGTGCTTTCCAGCTTGGTATACTCCACCCGGGCCTGGGTAGATCTTGTCTACTCTACCCAAAATGTCACCGAGACTGGGGTCAGAGGAGCATGAGAGGCATTAGAAAGTTTCTTAAGCCTTTTTTTTTTTTTTTGTCAAAATTATCCAACTCTTGCCTTCAAAGCTTCCAGTTTCATTTCACATATTCAGAGATAAAGCAGATGAAAGCCCTGCTGGTCCACAAAAGTGTGCTAGGGACTTTCAGGGACACTCCCTGGGGTAATTTGTCAGCCTTTGCAAATCCTGGTGCCTCCCAAACCCAGGGCTATGGCTGTAGACTGCTGGCCCTTGCCTTGCCAGCTCAGTCCCTGGCACACTCTCTCGCCAATTAGTGACTGTACTGTGGCCAGATTCAGTACAGGACCTCATGGGCAATCCAAACTGCCGATGGAAAGAGTAATCTAGGTCTAAACTCCCAGCTGAAGAGAGTTGAGGGTGGGGTGGCTGAAGCTTCCTGAGAGACTTTGGAAAGAATTAAGGGTGGAGGTTGGGGGGGCGGCGGGTGGAGGGTGGATAAGCAAAGCCTAGGAAGTGGAAACACCTATAGTTGCGTAACTGGGTGCAAGCATCAAGCCAGTAAGCGAAGGAATTAGCTTGCAAGCACTTCTTTACAGTCCCAGACTCTGAAGTCTGCTTTATTTTGTCCGTGGACGCACATCACCGGCCAGGGAGCCTCTGCAAAAAGTGTTTTTCTGCAGCAGCTGGGAAGAACTTCACAGATTTCCACCAGCTCCCCTCTCAACCCAGGGTCCTGTGTAGACCTCACAGAGCTCGGCAGGAGAGAAGCCAAGCAAGGACCAAAAATGGGTCTCCTTGTCACCCTGGAGCTTCAGAAGGCTCCCAGTCTCCACTCATGCTGGTAGTTGCTGTGCGTACCTTCTCATAGCAAGCAGCCGTGAGTCCATGAACGGGCTAGTGCAGTGTCCTCCGTGGGCATTCCAGACACAACTCAAACCAGAGGAATGAATCTCTGTTTCTGGGTCCCGCTGGCTCTCCTGGCTGCAGGAGGAGGGGGGGCTCTGAGGTAATCACATCTCTTCTCCATTGCAGGTGTCTGAGGCAAACTAACTGAGGCTGCATGCCAAGTGAGGCTTAGTCCTTCTTCAGCCACTCCCCGCAAGTTCTAGGGGTCCTTTACCATGGAGAGCTAAGCCTACATTTCCCTCTTAACAAGTGCTCCAAGCACCTGTCTTCAACAATACCACTAACTCCAGTAAGTATTCTGCCATCTCCACTCGACCTTGGGGAGGCAGAAAACTTGAGAAAAGTCTAGTGTTTGTGGAATGCTATTCATGAGCAGTGGCTTAGTAAACAGGTACACAGACTTGGGTAAGCCCTAGTCCACCACAAGGAAATGAGAACATTTTCCTCTTGACAAGATGGATAATTTCCTGTAAAAGCTAGGTTTAGCAGGGCTTCAGTTGAAGCTACTACTTGAGTTTGTATAATGGTTGTGCATGAGAACACCCTTCCCCCACCTCCGCTTCCCCGCTCCCCATCCCTGAGCCCAGGCTAAGAGGAAGGGTTCCAGACATTTTCAGAAGTCTCCAGAGGCCTGCATCTGCCACTCTGAGGGCCAACCAAGCCTTTTGACCTCAGGGGAGCTGAAGCTTGTCTATTTGCTCCACGTGGAAAGGAGTTTTTAAAGGGCTAACATGTGTCCTCTTGAGCCGTTACCGTCCTCTCTTTTCCATACATGCTTGTGTGAGCGCGCATCACACACACACACACACACACACACACACACACACACACACACACTTTCTGGCCTCTTCTCATTTGCCTTAATTAGGAGTTGGAGAAGTCAGGTTGGGCCCCCCCTCCCCCCAGTTCATGTCAAAACTGTCAAGGGACGTAGGGGAAGGAGCCGCAGCTAGAGAGGGGTGGAGGACTCCGCGAAAGGGGGAACTTGAAGCCCCGAAGTCATTGTTTCCTTTATTTCAAAGGGAAAAACCTGCCTGATTCTCATCCTTTTGATTGATTAAGGCCCTGAATACCTCCCAGCCCTGGAGTGACAGTCCCTGAATAGACTCAAGCGAATAAAGCAGCGCAGTGCAGAGCGCGGGGCTGGCACTCGGGGGTGTAAAGAAGGCCAGTTAGCTGGCACTTACCAAGTTATAAATAAAAGCCTGTGCACAATGCTACCTTCTCCGAGGACAGACAGTCTTTACAACACTCCTGGCGTCATATCCTGCTGGGGACTCTTCAGCTCCTGGCCAAGACTTCGGCCCTTTTATTTTTTCCAGCAGTTTAGTCTGAATGCCATAATAAATTCCTGAGAACAAACGCTGCAGCCAGGCAAAAACTTTAACATATAGGCGCATCTTTGCGTCGGGGATCTGTACCTCTTAAGTCCAGAGCCCCAGCATCCCAGAGAAAATCTTCAATCAGGAAGCAGAGGTGGCTTGTCCTACCCTCTCCCCCAACCCCATCTACCTCTAACCTTCCAGGGACGGTCCCCTGGCCTAGCCCCCGGATCTTTGCGCCTCCCAGAGTAAGAAGACAAAGCAGGTTATCCACCATCCAGGACTCCTCCAGAGAGGAACCCCTCAGGGAAAACTTGTGACTTGTTGACTGCTCAACAAGTCTGCCCCGCCCCCGTGCTTTCTTAGTGGAACTGTATCCATTCCAGCAGCGACAAGTCAAGAAAATACTAAAAAACAGTGAGCGTGACAGTAGTAGACACGGAGAGGCACTGATGACGGAGAAAGTCGCGCGCGCGCGCGCACACACACACACACAAGAAGAGGCAGAAACAGAAAGTCAAGGAGACAGACAAGTAAGCAGAGAGAGTGACCGACTGGGCCTCAGTCTGCATCCTCCACTGCTGCTGTCACCCTCGGGCTGTGTCTCCAAGTTTCCTGGGGACCACCCTTCTCTCCCGAGGAAGGGGCGCAGCGCAGGTTCCTCTCCGGGCCAGTGGAGGCCTCGGCGCCGCCAAGGATGGGAAGAGAAAGTGGCCGCTGTCGCCCAATCAGCGCGTGTCTCCGCCACCCGGGACGGTCTCCCCGTCGGCCAATCGCAGCTCAGGGCTCCTGACCAAGCTTTGGGTGAAAGAACTAATAAATGCTCCCGACCCCGAATCCCCGCACTCAGTGTCACGACGAGAGGAGACTCAGGCCGCGCTCCTGCCTCACGCCCCCTCCCTCCCACCCCTTTCTCGCTCCGGCTGGAGCTCTGTGCCCCGCTTTTCTGCGCCCCCAGCCGCGGAGCCGTTCGCCGGGACCAGCAGCAAACTTTTGCGCCCTGGGCTCCGGAGCCTGGACTCTGGGGCCTCGTCGCCCGCCCCTTTCCTCGCTTCCAGCCTCAGGACCGAAAACCAGCGGCACCCCTCCCGAGTCCCTCCTTCCCTCTCACTCTCTCTCCAAACCTTGTTTTGGGGAGGGGCTCTTCCGCTCCGGAGACATCCCGAGGGTCTGTCGCGCTCCGCTCGCCTTGCTGTTTCGCCTTCACCTGGATATAATTTTCGAGCGAAGCTGCCCCCAGGATGACCACGCTGGCCGGCGCTGTGCCCAGGATGATGCGGCCCGGGCCGGGGCAGAACTACCCGCGCAGCGGATTCCCGCTGGAAGGTAAGGAAGAACCTTAGCGCCGCTCGGATCTCGGCCTAGGCTCCACCGCTCCACCCAGTCCAGGTCTTCCTCAGCTGCTATGTTGTGTCCAGTGCATCCATTATCTCCTCCATACCCTCGCCTTAGGAAGCAATAGTCCGGTCAGATTTTCCCTCTGCGAACCGAGCGAGGTTGCCCGAGCTTGGTTGCGGCTAGGCCTGCTTTCCGGGATTGTTTTGAAAATGCCTTGGTGGGGAAGGGGTGAACCGGCTTCTGAGTCCAGGAGCAGCTCCCAAGCCACAGTCGCCGCACACTTGTCCTGGCTGCGCCCACTCTTTTTGTGTGTGTATGTGCGCGCGTGTGCGCGATTTTTCTGATTAGTTCGTCAAGAGTTTTCGTGCCGTGCAAAGTTGTGGTTGGCGTAATGCTTGGCCGGCTGTCGACACCGGAATTTTGCGTATTCGTGCACGAATCTGAGTTGCGCCTGCCCCAAGTGGCACGGGAAAGTTTCTGTCACTTGGTAGGGAATCGCCTTCCAGTCAGTTGCTGGTCTCAGGAAGTTTTGCAAAGCCAGAGCTCTACTGAACGGCTTGTGGGGTTGGACGCCCGAAACGGGATTCTGGTGGTGTCCTTGGCCCTCGGTCTAGAGGAGAAGGTGACGCTTAGCGCGCCCTTGGAGGCCGGGAGCGCGCCGAGCAGGCCAGTGGCTGCCAGTGTTGCGAAGCGTAACAGGTGATTGCATGGCCGCCTGCGTCTTCTTTCGGGCCTGCCTGGGTCTCTTGGCTGAGGCACCCGAGGCTGTCAGCTATCCAAATCCTTTAGACTGGGAGGGGAGGTCGTCAAAGCCAGGGCCTAAGTGCATTTCTCCGGATCAGAAGAGCTTTCTAGAGCAAGCACTATCGGCCGTGGGGCCTAGCTCCAAGGCTTCAGATGGGCTAGACCTCAGGAAAGACAGGTTCTTGGGGGTGGGAGGGCTTATCTTATTCCAATTGTTCTAAGTCAAGCAGAAGGTCTGTGTAGGACTGTACAGTATGGACCGGCCAGGAGTGTAAGAGCCGAGGCCGATTCCTCTTTCAGCCTGCCTCCTCTCCTTCTTCCAAAGTGATTTTTCTTGCCCTTCTCTCTCATCTTCGCTCAGTGTCCACGCCGCTCGGCCAGGGCCGAGTCAACCAGCTCGGCGGGGTGTTCATCAACGGCAGGCCGCTACCTAACCACATCCGCCACAAGATCGTGGAAATGGCCCACCACGGTATCCGACCCTGCGTCATCTCACGCCAGTTGCGTGTGTCCCACGGCTGTGTCTCTAAGATCCTGTGCAGGTACCAGGAGACCGGCTCCATCCGACCCGGCGCCATCGGAGGCAGCAAGCCCAAGGTGAGGTGGTGAGCCGGACCCTGACGCCTTTGGGTTCCCAGGGTTGGGAGCAAGAGCTAGCTTCGGACTTTCTATGTAGAACGGGATGCGTGTGCGGCCCGCAGGCTGCTGTGTGCGTGTGCTTTGGCGGGAGTGGGAGGAATTCAGGCATGACCAGAGCCTGACAATCTCTGAAACATGGCTTGGCAAAGGGGAGAAAAGCAACTTTTTAAAAAGGAACCAGGAACCTTGGAATTGTCAAGGAGCGATTTTAGCAGACAAACCCCTAACGCGATCTGTGTCCACCTGTTGCAGACTTCTTTTCCTAGCGGCTTCCCAGCCCCCACAGCACTCTGTGGCACCCTTTGCGTTTTCTAATGATTTGTCCCCCAACCTTTGCCCTGTCTACCCCCAGTAAAAATCATTTTCTGAGAGCTTTCTTTGTCGTGAACCTAGGGCTTGGTTTTGTGCTACTCCGACATTTTTCCGGTTGCCTTTTAGAAAGGAAAGTCAACAGAAGCAAGTGCCGAGTGGGAGGGAATAGCACAGGCTCTGCCTTTTCTCCTGAACATAAGCAAAGCCTATAGGACTTTCTAGTTGCCACTAGTTTGGCAATATCCAGAGGGATACGATTTCCAAATGCCTCCTCCCAGCCTTCCAACCCCTTCTCTACCCAGACACCTTCACAACCTCTCCAAATGTCTTTGGAAATTCTTGGGGAAAGAGGGGGCAATTTTCTGAAATGATTTATATGGGTTATCCACTCTGATTTTTTTCAACCGATTTTTCTAACCTTTTTTATTTCACTTGGTTCTTCACTTTAGCTGAAACGTTTGTGCCACTTTGGAGAGGGGGCGAGCCGTAGATCTGACTTGAGGTCTCAGCACCCGCACCAAGCATTCTTCTTCTTTTTTGAAGTTTCGATTTCCCACATGTTCTCTGGAAGGAGTTGATTGGATTTTCAGGCATTAGAAAGTACAGTTTCCAGTTCCAGGATGTCACAATCATTCGCAATTTATCCGGACTGTCTCCACTTCACTGGGGAGGCAAATTAGGGGGAGCAGGATTGGGATAATTTCCTGTTTGTTTCATCCTAAAGTTAAGTGTCTCAGAGTTGGGAACCTTTGGCTAACTAGGGGGAACCTTCCCAGGGGATGCAGGACTCCCGGGAAGCCGCGGTCCAAGGACTCAACTGAGCCGGAGGACTGGGTACCAACGCCTGCCTGTTCTCTTAAAGCAGGTGACAACGCCTGACGTGGAGAAGAAAATCGAGGAATACAAAAGAGAGAATCCGGGCATGTTCAGCTGGGAAATCCGAGACAAATTACTCAAAGATGCGGTCTGCGATCGCAACACCGTGCCCTCAGGTACCAGGCCCCTTGGCTTCTCCCCCAAGCGTCACTGGTGCTTTGCTGTGACCCGGATGGGCCCTCCCCGTAGTCACCCCAAGTATTTATCCAAGCTGTTGGGAAGTGGTTTCTGCCAAGGCCCCCAACGATTTCCAAATCAGACTTTGTTGGGTTCTGTGGAGGTGTAAGCTTGCTTGTCCCCAGGGCCGAGGGCTTGAAAGCCCCCGGCTGAGCGTTTCCGTTGCAGAGGCAGGACACGACACGCGAGGTGGAGGCCACGCGTTTATTAATATTGATGTTCCCTTTTAAAGAGAAACAAATGTTTTGGTAACCCCATCGGAAGGGAGAGGGCCCCCAGCCGGAGGAGACATCGCCGTTCGTGCGCTCCGAAGGGAAAGCTTCGGCGGAGAGTTGATTTTCCCCTAGCGTCCCAGGGACCCGCCGGCGCCCCCGGGGCAGCCTGGAAGAGGCGGACAGAGAAGGCAGCGAGCGCAGGGCAGCGAGAGGGCGCGCGGGAGAGCTTGTTTTTAATTAAAAGGAAACTCCCTTTCCACCCCCCTCTAACAAGAACGATGTATTTCAGAACATGGATTTGTTTACCCGACTGAAATCTGGAAAAAATAAATGGGAGAGAGTGCAGTTTTTCTTTGATTTCTACATTAGGAAACGTTTCTGCCGTTGAAATGGAAACTCTTTGCAGCCTCAAAGAAGAGTTGGAAGGGGACAGGTCCGCTGGGGTCTTCTTCCCTTGTTGCGGACGGCGCGCGCTCTCCATCTCGACCCTTGTCCAGACTGCCTTCAGGTGCAGAGGCGGAGGGCGCAGAGAGGCTGGCCCGAGGATTGGCTTAGATAGAAGACCCAGAGTCCACCCAATCGGTGGAGTCCGGGAGGGCGCTTCTTAGCAGGAGGACAGGGGTGTTTCCAGGGCCTAATTCGGATGCAGGGCCTTCCTAGGCTGACTTTCCGAGCTTAGATGGACAATCGGGTGCATGGATGGCGCAGGAACACACAGAAACCAGGTGGCTGGGGCAGTTTTGCTGGCACTGAGGCTGGAGGTTTGGAGGAAGGTTCCTTCCTACCCAGCCCGGTGTCTCAATCTGCGCTCTCCTGTGCTCCTCCCGTCCCAAGTGAGCTCCATCAGCCGCATCCTGAGGAGTAAGTTCGGGAAAGGTGAAGAGGAGGAGGCTGACCTGGAGAGGAAGGAGGCAGAGGAAAGCGAGAAGAAAGCCAAGCACAGCATCGACGGCATCCTGAGCGAGCGAGGTGAGTGCCTTGCGGCGCCTGGAGCCGTCTGCTCCAGGCCTCGGCGGGCGGCGGACGTGGGGGCTGGATCGCCGCCCAGCCCCAACTCCTGTCAAAGTCCTACTGCGCCTTGCTAAGCGCATTCGAGTGAAAAGACCGAAGAGACCGTGGAACTAAACTCCAAATCTGTTAAGTGTTGCGTGTCACAAATCTTCTTCCGGTCACCTCAGCCCTTCGTTTCTAGAACCTCCAGCTGAGCTCTCAGTGGGTCTCACGAGTAACAGGACAGGAAGTTTCTTAGCTGCCCAGGTAATGGGTACAAGAGTACTCAGAGATCTAAGTGGGGTCTCAGGAAAGCCGCAATTTCTAGGGGAGAGAGAGAGAGCGAGACAAAGTTAGTTTTGAGCAACAGACCCCCCCAAAGTCACCCTATATCTCACCTTATGTATGTTTCTGTAGGTTTGCCAAAATGGAATGCTTTTGATTTGTTCTAAATTGGTTTTCAGCTGTGGTGGGGTTTAGTCTGTACGTGCCTGGGAATCAAAAGGAACTGAGGCTCAGGGTTACACATCCAGGAGATTTGAAGTGTTGGCACCTTCTGTCCTCAGCGGTGCAGACCACACACTCCGCGTTGACTGTGGCTCCTTAGCCTAAAAGGTACTTTCCTCCCAGCAGGAGAAGTACCTTGTGTTTTCTGCATGCCTGCCGGGAGTCCTCCTCAAACTTGGAGAAGGGTGTGGGGGAGAGGAAGAAAGAGGGAAAGATGAGGGAAGAAGGGGCAGGTGGAGCTGTGTGAGATCGCTGCTGTGGCAGGGGAGGGCATTGCTGTCTGCAGCCCTGATGTAGTCACAGCTCCTCAGAGGTGCTAGGGTCTGGAGTAGTCAACCTTCCTGTCCCCCTCCACACCTGAACTTCTCATCTGTGGGACTTGGTGGGGCTTAGTATGATTTTGTATTTTGGGCTTAGAGAGGTTGCCTACCGTGGCCAGTCAGACAGCCCAAGTGGGACGGTGGATCTAGCAGCTGGTGTGTCATTACCCTCCATTGTCCAGCCCCGGGGCTGCTGTTGACCCCCTGTAGCAGCTGCTTCACAAACCAACACAGAATAGGGCACCGCCTCAAAGGAACATGAGATTCGGAGGCCACACATCCAAACGCCTGGTTGCAAGGATAGAGAGAAATGTTGCCAGTTTGCAGGCAGGCACACAACCCAGGAAAAAACCAAACCCAAACAAACAAACAAACAAAAGAACCCACCCCAAATGACAGCAGGTAAAGCAGGGAGACAATCCGGGCTGCTGCACCCTTGGCAGCGGCCTCACGGGGACTCAGTCTAGGCCTCTCTGTTTGGAGGGGCGTGCTTCTTCCCTGGCCTCCGACAAGACACCCCAGCTGTTAGCCCAGACCTGGCTGCAGCCCAGAGGTCCTGGGGAAAAGATGGAAGCAAGAGAGGCAACCCTTCCCTGGGTCGGGCTCCTGCAGGTAGAGAGGAGAGGAGCCCAGAGCCGCTGGAGAAGCTCTGGAGGCCCGTGGCTTTTGCTTTGCTACTTGTTGCTGGAGGCAGTGCTGGGGCAGAGCGCCTGCTCCGTCACAGTATAGACAACAGAAAGGCCCGGGAGACAAAACGTCGCAAATGAGCTGGTCAAACATTTGTACAACTTTTCCAGCTTTTACAAAGAAACCCTTCTCTACACAATCTACACTTGGAGATGAACTTGGGAGACAAAGCCTGGAGAGTCCATTGAAACTCACACTTTAGCTTGGCCCAGACAAAGCTGCAGCTCGGAGCAGCTTGATGTGAACAAAGGAAGGCACCCTTTTTATAATTCAAGGAGAAAAGAAGAGAAAACAGCCCCACAAAGGGCCCAGAATACACATTATGGGCTTGCAATGAGGGATGAATTATTCAATGAGCCCCAATAGCTGCTGCGCCAGGAAGTTTTATGGACTCTCCAGCGTGGAAAAAGTGGCCATTTCACCTACAAAATGTTTCTAGTCTTTTGGGCCGTCTAGCTGGGCTGGCTGCTATTCAAGGGCAATTGCTACCATTTTTAAAATCAGAGTATTCTCCCCAGTGGGGGATGTGCCCTTGAAACACACACACACACACCTCGGAGGCTGAAGCCTAATTTAATTTGGGGTTGTCAAGGAAGATACAACGGCGTCTCGCCTGCGCCTCTGGCTCTCTTTCCGGATGAACCCTGCAGGGTTACGCTGGCCCAGGGAAAAGGAACGAGTGAGATGTCATCTGAAGTCTGCAAACCCCCCAAAATGACCCCCGCGTTGCCCTGGCATCAAACGTCGCAGGCTGCCCCGTTTGCAGACTGGGGTGAATGTTGGTCCAGAGCGCCCGGACTGGGATGGGGTGAGGGGAAGGAGAAGGCTTACGCAGGAGGGACTCGGGGGTGTTGCGGCCACTGCGACTGCGGCGAGCTCTCGCCGGCTGTGCCAGCTGGTGGGCACGGCCGAGGCTGTTGAACCTGGCTTTCCGGGGAGATCTTCATTATCCCACGGTGTGCTTACCCTAGCCACTGTGAGCTAGGCACTCTGAAAGAGGTTAGAACCGCCTGCGTTCTCAGATCCAGGACTCTGCGGTTTCTGTCGGAGGGCTTCCTTAACCTCCCGGAGTGTTCCCTGTTTCTCTTGTCCCGTCGGAGAGCAGCGCAGCGTGCCACCCCAGTGCGTCCCAGCGTGTCCTGGGCACTGTGCGAAAGAAGAAATTTGGGCAGCGCCAAGAACACCCCCGTTTCCCAACTCTCGCATTAAGATCGGAGCAAGAGCAGGCGCAGCTGGAGAAGCCAAGACCGGCAGAGGCATCGGGGGCGGTGGGCATAGCCTGCTCCGCGGCTGCTCAATGGGCGCCTCTGTTCCTCCCCCGGCGCGGCGGAGAGGGCCCGCGGGCGCCGCCACAATGGTCTAGGGCCCCTCTTCTGCGCCCAGCGCCAAAGCTACGCGCCGCGCCGCCCCCTCCCTCGCGCTCCGACCGGCCCGAAGCTTAGCTCTCCGGGCTGCAGCCGACTCAATCGCCTTCTTTATGTCCTTCTCACTTTCATCTCTACACAGCCCGCCTCCCCCTTCTTCTCTTCTCTCCTTTTTTTTTCTCCTTGGCCCGAGGCTCACATTAGTGAAATTTCTGCAACACCCCCCCACCTCCATTTTTTTTTTCTTATTTTAAAGAAAGCCCTTAACACAAAAGCGGTGGCTAATCAATAGAAACTGCTCCTTCCTCGTCATCTCCTCCTCTTTCTCCTCCTCCTTCTCCTCCAACAGCGTGACGCTTTTCCTGTTTGTGAGTTTTGGGAAACATTTTTGCTTTGTGCCGTAATGGAATTAGAAGACAGATGAGGACTGTAAATGGACACGCGGCTGCAAGGCTCTCGCTTAAACATTTAGACGCAACGTAACAATTACTGACTTGTTGGAGCGGCTTTGAAGTGGCACTTTGGGAGTGCAAGGGGAGCGAGGCCAGATTGCCAAATTGATGTTTTGATTGCAATTGGAGATACACTTTCATAGGACTTTACCCCCGTTTAAAATCAGAAGAGAGCGTGGGAGGTTTGCAACAATTTCTAATTCAGCCAAGAGACCTCAAGTACGGGGTCTCTCGGGGGCTTTCCATTTCTTTGATTTCTCTCGCTGCCAATCTGACGGTTGTGGAAAAGAGTGCCCTCTTTATTATTATTATTATTATTATTATTATTATCATTATTTGAGAAAGCAGAGATGGCGAAAGTTTTTCTTGAGTCTCCATGTGGCTTGTCAGTTGGTGTGAAGTTTTCCAGAATTCACGAGAGCAAGCGACTTCAGCGTTTTGTGTGGACATAGGATAAAGCAGTTAAAAGCGGCGAAAAAGTTTTCAGTCTTTAGAGCGCTCCTTTAACCGCAGAGGCGTTTTATCACGGAGGGGGCGCTGCCACGGAGGGGAACTCAGAGACCTTTCTCCCCCTTCCCCCAAATTAAGGGAAGGGCATATTTGCATTGGGTTGGGGAGGGCAGCACAGGCCCGACTTTCCCACAGATTAAAATAACAGGATATGGGATCACAGGCTTGTGGCCTCAGAACCCTTATTAGAGTGGACAGCCCAGCCCATTCTCCAGATCCACTTATTTTTAGGGTCAGGAGTTGGACCTCAACTTCATCTCTTTTTTAAATTTCCTTTCCCTGATCTTTGCAACACCCCTCAAGGAAATGTCACTTTTTTTTTTTTTTTTTGAAGGATCGGAAAAATCGCAGCTTGAACTACAGGTCTATGCTGCACGTCTTTTGCTTGGCGTAGCTGTGGTGTTTTTCCTGCTGCACCAATTTGAAAGGAGACAGAGTAGTTCTGCTTGGAGCTTTTTCTTTTTAGCTTGTGTGGTTGACTGCTGCAGAAGTACCTTCTAACCTTATTGGAAACATGCAGATATTCTAATTAATGCTTGAAATCGTATGTTTATTTTGGGGTTTGATTTGATTGTTGATAGTCCCTGAACAGGAGGTAGGGGCATCAAGTGTGTAATAATTACTGAAGGGTCATTTAAGAGTCCCCAGGGCTGAGCAATAAAACCCACCCGGGCGGTGAGGCGGAACCGGCAAGTGCAAGCACCTCGGGTGGAATATGCTGAAATCAATCACGTGGATGGCAGCGCTGCCTGTGAACCAGGCTGCTTCACCACATAGACGCAGGAAAAGGCAGAAATCATCGCTGCTTATCAGAGAAACATTGAAGTCGTCCGTGAATAAAAGCAAGTTACAAGTTAGAGCAGCGGCAACAAACCCAGGGGGAGGGTGTTCCGCCCGCAAGGAGAAAAGAAAGTTGAAATTCAGTGGGTTCCTAAGAGCAGCTGCTTGTTTATGCAGGTAAATAAAGATTAAAGAACCATTAGGAATTTGCATTTATAACTACCAAGACACTAAAAGGCAATTAAGCAGCCAGTTTAATGCCTTATCTCACTGGCTGCTCTGTCGTTGTTTTACAACTAGGAATTAAAATCTGAAAAGGAAGTTTTCAGCAGCTCTGGCCAAATATTGATTAAGTAGCT